TGGCCACGTGAATAAGTTGAAGTTACATCCTTCTAACAGGAAAAGTAACTTTCGTTATCATGGAATTATAACAAAACCTGCCAATTCAATATAAATGGAAATAAAATATTATATGGAATTGAACGAAAATGAAAATTTGCTTATTAATTTTACTACGCTTGTTAGAGAACAATGAAAACACTACTCTCAACAAGCCACCAATAAAACTCAACTGCCTAACCTATAACCAAAATCTCATTTTAATTTGTTTTTGAAAAAAAGTGCTTGACAAACTTGCCCCGCATGCCGAAGTCGCCCCGGTCTCCCCTATATAAAAAATAAACAACAAAAAATCTTCTGAAAAACAATAAATATTATATAAATAACAGTAAACTTATTTTGAATTTAAATACATAAAAAATAAACAACAACAAATTATCTAAATACCAATAATGTTCAAAAAATATGGAATGTTCAAAAACAATAAATGATAAATAAATAACAAAACTTATTTTGAAATTGAATAAATAGTAAATAAATAACAAATTAAAAACAAATATATATATTTTGAATAAGAATAAGTAATAAATAAGTATTAATTAAAGAAGACATAAATTTTATTTAGGAATAGGAATATATTGTAAATGAATAAGAAATAACATCTATGTAAATTTTACATAGTTAACTTTTAATAAAATTTTAGTTTAAAAATTTTTATTATTTTTAAACCAGAACGTTTTTTATTTATTTTTTGAAAATATTAAAATAAAAGAAAATAATAATAAGTACAAACTGGGGTAAGAGTAATAAAATCAAACATTAATAAATAGGAATGATATACTGTATATATATGAAATATAATATGAAACAAATAACTATTTAGAAATAAATGTAAATTCTGAAATTCTTTTGTATTCTGTAAAATTAGAATAAAATTAATTACTATTTTTATCGAAAATGTTCAGTTATTTAAATAATTTTTAAATCAATAACTTAATTTTTGTAATATAACAATGTCTGCGATTGAATTAATTTACGATAGGGAACAGGCGTATCTACTATTAAACAAACAAAGCTATTGCTTCAGAATTTCTGATCTTGAATTGTCCTGATGCAACAAAATCATCAGTATTCTGCAGCTATAACTGTTATGGAGACTTTTTGGTTGCTGTTTTCAGAAAGGCTTTATAGCATTTAAAAATGCAAACTATCGAAAATATAAAGAAACATTGACTCTGAGCGATTAAGCGATACGTCGACGTGTAATTTATAATGTTTCGAATTATGTTACTGTCAATTCATGTTTATCTGAATATATAAAATTACTTGTCCTTGCTGACTGACTGACTGGATCACTGATTCATCATTGCCCAGAGCAAACCACTGAACTTAAAAAAGTGAAATTTGGTACACAGAGTATGTCATTAGAATGCACACAGAGAACATTAAGAGGGAAACATTAAGGCGTAACCGTAATGGCTTTTAAATGCAATCTTTTATTTTCAACTATGTTTAGTCTTTATTAAATACTTATGTGTATTAAATTGATAACATTTCAGACATTGTTATAAATATTTTCATATATTTCGATTTTTTAACCAAACGTTCGAGCCGTTTTAAGTGTTAATTTGTTATTGCACATTTCTTCGATTATAGAACGATTGTAAACGTTCCAGAAAATTGATCAAATTAAAAACAGTTCGCTTGATTCTCGGCAATTCTCATCATTCTCAGCGGTAGGCGTTATATAACAATTACTTTGATTGTTGAAATACCGAATATAAATCGGGTTTGCTTGCAAAATTACCGGAAGCGAAGTCACAGGTAACAGCTAGTATGACATAAAGTTACTGAATAATATTTGTATTTTTTATTTGTACTATTGCTTTTACTGTGTTGCAAGACTATAACCCTACATGATTTTGTATTAGAGGGAACTATCAAAATTTATAAATAATTTCAATCAGTTAACCGAATAATTCACTAAAATTGTGTTCCTTATACACTGGTTTATACTTTTACTATCTACATCTGGATAAAACCATTAAACACTAGTAGTTGGTCGTAGATTCGAATCGAATGTATACACCAGTTAATTGATATATTGAAATTCAATTAATATTTTAGAGTGGGATGTACGACTTTATCTATGTTAGAAGTATGTTTATGTTTACATAACTGCCAACTTTCATAGCAATTTGTGAAGCGGTTTCTGTGTGCCTAGCGAATAAACATATTCATTTATATATACATATAAATCAAAGATACATACCAAAAGAAGAATTTGAAAAATATCCTTAATTTAGAGAATTTTTTCTACTTTGGTGCATGGTCCATTATTTGTTTGACATGCACAGTGTATGTCATATTTTCTATTATTCTTTTGTATCAAAATGAAAAATGTCAATAAATTATAAAACTATTTATAATATATATATTTATTATTATTATTTAAAGATTAAAACAGTAAAATATAATTTGAATGTTTAAATGGAAAAAGGTATCGATTTTTCTGCATGAATGGAAGTGTAATGTATCAGACTTTACTACACAGTACAGGTTCTCTTTACACAGTCCTTCATACAGAGATATTCGGTAGATAAAGGACTTATGTTACATTGACTTGACGTGTTCCAATGAAAAAATCTGACAAGGACTGATACTATTTTAATTCTTAAGAGCTGTTAATTTAGAAACGTAACACCTTCATCTATTTTAACAGTGTTAAAAGTAGTGTACAACCTTTCTATCATATAATGGCATTTAAGACATTTTACAAGTTAGACATTAGTCATTAATATAATATGCTGTCTTAAATTAATTAAATGTAATATTGTATTAATTAAATCTTTAGATCTTCCTATTCAATTTTTACAAAAACAAGTTTTAAATTCAAAAAAATTAATAATCATTGTCTAAATCAAATTTATCATCAATCAATAACTTGCTCAGTATCATTAAAGTATAAAAGAAATACCAAAATTTCATTACGATTAGTTCTTTCATTTTATTATTTTTTTAAATACATAAAATGTTAAAAANAAAAATTTTAACAGCATGTTAATCTAATTAAAAAGTTTGAAGAATATTAATTTTTTCAAATTTTTCAAAAAATATTTAATAGTAAAAAATTTTGACTGAAAATCGCGTCGGGTCTGTCAGACCCATGCGACTAACAGAAGGTTAAATAAATATATAAAACTCACATATTGCGTCATCATTACTAACTTCAAATCCATGTATCTGATCAAAAAATGCAAGATTATTCTTAAATTTATCGCAACAAAAGTGAGAATCTTTTTCAATAACTTTTCACGAATTAGAATCGCTATGGTTGAAACAATCCTCAGTAAGATCACGAACGATGTCCAAATAACCTGTTTTTTGGAAATCTTGGAAACTTTTCAAGTAATACTTTTCTTATTTAATGAAACACAAACTTTCGAAAACGTCTTTTTCCTTCGAAAAAATCTTCTCAACAAAGAAAGTGTTACAATAGAAAATCTATTGTTGCCCACATTCTTGCGTTTCCGCGTGATGTTGAAGCTGAGGTAGTTAAAATAAATAAAATTTTTAGAATATCCGGTGCATATTTATTGATTTTTGTTTCAACCATCCTTATTACATATGAATACTGTACAGTACATTAATTGCTGGGCATTATAGAAAATTAACATGTATAAACTGTATAGTACATAAATATATTATTAATGCATAAGCATACATAAGCATACATTTTATATTCTTAAAAATTGCCTTTATTCTTCGTTTTTTTGTATCAGATCAAAAAATGTTAAATTTAACATTCAAGTAGAATTTGGAACAAAAGTTTTAATCTGTAATCTAATTTTATAGCGACATTTAGCTAATTATTTAATTTAAATATAATGCTAAATATTGTCAATAAAAAAATTTAAACAAATTCTGCAAGTAAAGTCATTGCTTAATTCATAATTTTAATTTACTTGCCACTGAATTACGTGACAGAACGAAGATGGCGGGTCGTGATTGCTAGGAATGTATTCTGTTGTCATAGCTGAATTAAACAAATGAATAAAATAGAAGGCACAGACTTAAATTATTACGAAGAAATGTTGCCTGAAAAATATAAATATCATAACTGTAAATTCGCTGAAAATACAGGAGGTGTTATTTTATTTTTTCAATACAATTCATTGAATAATGATTCTTCAATCAAGGTAGAGTTGATGCCGTTACACAGTGAAGATTATATAAGAAAATTTAAATACGTTTGGTCTAAGAGGCCTTCAGATATAAAGCAGAGTACAGACCAACACTAATAAATAATTTTTTATTACTAATATAAGTCTATGTTGATGGGATAGGTTGAATAGGAATAACGTAAAACATACAGGAATGTAAACTTATGGAAAGTCAAAATATGACCGATTAGAATACTGTACTTACAATATCTTTTACACTTTAATAACTGAGACAGAAATAATTATACAGTATTTATTGTTTAAATATTTATATTTCTTGTGATTAAAATAAAATAAATCACAATATTGTAACAATCATTTCTCAGAGCGAATAGCTGACTTTTCTAAGTTGTGGACATGTGAATTTAAAGGAAATTTAACATACATTCGTAATGATTAAAAAAACAGCATTACGCTATCTTGAAATTGGAGTGTGTTACGTTAGTTTAAGACGTTCACTTTCAACAGCTTATACATTGTATAATCGTTTGATAAAAAAAACTACATAAATTCGCTTCAACCTATGAACTAAAAATTTCAGTAACTTCATTATTAAAACATAAACTGTTTTTCGTTAATAAGCAGCTAGATTTCGTACATAAGTCTACCTGCGAAAGGGATAAACAATGCTATATAATACGTTTTAAATATCATTGTCGGGTACAATTTCGTTATTTTTAAAATAAATTTCTTTTTAAATTTGTTATAACATATTGCTGTGAACCTGCTGAAGACAAAGTCCAATTTAGTCAAAAATATAAAAAAAATCAATAAAATAAAGCTATAGAGGCAAAACAAACTAAAAGTTAGGATTGTCTTTATTCTGTTACAGTTGAAGTACCACTCTGTGTAAAAAAAAAAACTCGTTATATTTAACCCTTGTGGTATTAAACTTATCGAATAAGTTGTACATTACTGAAGAATTTATTAAATATATGAAAAGTGTCATTTTTTCTATCTCTGCATTTGTCTCTACTGTTAAACTAAAAGTTATTTTTTGTAATAATTTCATTTCAGTTAAGTTAAAGATATACCTAGAAAAGCTAATGAAGTTACAAGATTACTTATGCATATATGAGATCCTTAATCTAGAACAAAGGACACAATGACTTTCCAATTAAAGAATGTTTTGTAAACGTTATACTCCAAAAGACAGATATGATTGGACGAAAAACCAGCGAAATTATACAAATACAAAAGATTTTTATCAGTAGATCTAAGAAGTACCGAACAGTATTAATTACATATGATCCGGGATACGGGAAAACGACCATTTATAAAAAATTCGCATACGATTGGGGAATCGATGAAGATCGTCGAAGTTACTTGAGATATTTCCATGCTTTAGTTGTAATTGAATTACGTAAATTAGGAGAGAAAAATCTTTTTGATGCCGTACTGGAATGCATCGACAATAATAAGAACGACAATTTTCAAACCAAACTAAAGAAGCAAAATGGAATTTTTTGTTATTTTAGACGATTTGACGAATATCTGCATTGAAAATGTGTTAAAGAATTCATAACAAACGACTCGTTCGGACTTTGTGAGTAAATGACAATTGTTGTTACTAGCCGTCAACGTGTTACTGACGAAACGAGAAAAGAATTTCTCCCGAACAGAAAGAAAAATACATCGATTTCTTTGTTGGAAGAAACAAAGATAAAAAAGAGTATCTAGTTAGTCTGATACGTAATAATAGCTTCTGCTCCGAATTGGCAAAATGCCTATTGATGCTGAACATGTTACGCTGCCTTCCCGCAAGTAAACTATTACTAACTATTACGATATTTTTAAGACAGTAGCCAAACGAAATATCAACACAACTAAATTTAAAACATTTAAAGCCCAGTAAATTCTGTACTATTGCATATATATTATTATATTACAAAACAGAAAATTACATACGGAATTTTAAAAAATTATTGATCCTGGCAATTCCTTTATGTTCCGACTTTTTATGCAGTCTTATCATAACACACAGTGTAATTTACATTATAAAAAGAATTCCACCAAATAGCATTAATATTAATAAAGTGTTTCTATTATATTTTAACGTTTTATGACTAATTTTTTACCCACAATCAGTAAAACAAAACTATTCATTAATATAAGATAATATTTTCGATATTTTATTGTATTTTTACGGTCTTGATATTACATCGCATTAAATTATCAAGAACCATTTTATGACAATAAAGGATTGACAACAGTGAATTTTACTATTTATATACGCGTAATATTGCTATTAGTAGCTTTATGTAACTCTAATACTGAGTTATAAAAAGATGATTTTATTAAAGAAAAACCTATTTATTTTACAAAAGCGATTAATTTACAGGACAAGAATAATGCCAGAAGAAAATTCAAGTTCATTTTAGAGTTTTATAATTATTTTCATAAAGTTTTGAATTGAGTTTGGAATACTCCCCTGTCACTTTTATTTTGAGGTATTCTTTTTTGAAAATTATAAGTCTAACTAACATTATAATAAATTCTGTTAATGATTTAGTATCGAATTAAACGACATTATGAAAAGTAAAAAATCTACTATAAAGTACTATTTAAAAATAGAATCTTCGATAATTCTGAACAAGTTAATTTGCACGCCTTCTCATTGCACATGACCCCAGCCTTTGAAAATAATTTACTATAAGAAACGGATGACGCTCTTATGCACAACCTCTTCAACATAACTTCATATAAATTCGGATAATCTAACTTCTTTTCTTCCCACCACTCCAAAGGGTCTAATTCCCTTGCAAGTAGAGGTTCTGCTAAATAATCTTTCAATTCTCTATTGGTTGTAATACATTGTTCATTTTTAATTCTGAGCTGTAAAAAATAATGTTGTGTAAGATTAAATGTCGTCTTTCTGAAGAAAATTAAAAGCAAATACATACTTTACTGGTAGATTCATCAAATTCGTTCCAAAGCGATCCAGACGAATTGCTTTTATATTTTTCGATCACTGTCGTGATAGTATTTTCGATTGTGTCTTCTAATACATCAAAGTTCAAGATTAAAGATTCACATGCATTATTAAAATCCTTCTCGTTAACAAATCCTTGTTTCTTGAATCGTGGATCTAAGATTATTGCCTGGGCAATTAACTTCTCTTTTTCTACTGCCCCAAATTTTTTATGTAAATTTTCTATTAGTCTTTTCCCCATGTTTTCAATTTCTTTAGGACAATGAGGTTCCTCTAAATATCTTTCTATACGATTTATTAACATTTGTGACAAAATTGAAACTTTAGATATATTAATAGTATTATCTTCGCTGATATCTTTTCTTGCTTCCTCAAAACTTGATAATAAGTTTTTTGCATCATCAATGACATTCCAATTAAGATAATCAGTATTAAAATTCATTTCTGACGAAGCACTTAGAGTGGACTTGATCAGTTCTTGATTTCCAAGAATTAAGTTTAACATTTCTAAAGTCGAATTCCATCTAATAGAAACATCTTCGTCTAAAATTAACCCACTGAAATTAATATCTTTCTGATTAAACGTAAATTCTGCTCTGACATCACCGTGTTGTATTAGGTATTTTACAATATTCTTGAATTTTTTCACGATGTTTTCGATAACTTTTATTCCACTCTTTACCACTAATTTAAGTAAATGAGCGTAACATGGTATACTCTTCCAGTTACATAGATTAATAGCTTTTACAATGCTATTATCGTAATCATTAACAACACCGATAATTTTTGAAGTAATTTTCCAATCTTTCACAATATGCATCAGCTTATCTGCGATATCATTTGAAGTATGTTTTATGTTGATTTCGAAACATTCCAATGTATTAGAACGTAACTTCAAACTTGAGCTTATATAGTGTACTGTTATAGCATAAATAGTAGCTGAGCATCGTTCTAACGTTAAGCAAACTGCTGTAGTATGGCTTAGTTCGTTCATAATCGTTTCCCTCGTCTCATTGAAAAGTCTGGGAATCAAATCGTTTGTTAAGATTTCTCGAGATGGAAGTGTATATGTAGGTTGCAATAGTCGTAAAAATTCTTGAAATTCTCGATCGTCTAGTAAATCGTAGGAATAGTAATGCTTGTATAGCATTTTTATTAGTTGTTTTTCAATTGCATTAACTTGTTTTACTGGTTGCACTTCGTTTGTCAACTTTTGAAAAACTAGCTTATTCGGGTAAACAGAAGGGAGACCAACATTTGGTAAGGTATCACAGTTAGTTTTATTTGTTGTTATTCCAGAAGGTGATTCAGTACTTGTTGTATCTGTTTTTAAAAAGCTTGGTTTTTGATGTAAACAGCAAATTGATGTAGTTGAGGTGGATAAAGCAGGCACGGTTTGGCTGTAATTTGGCAAAGTGCTATTTCTACACGGTCCAGGTACAGATGGCAGTAACAATTTATAGAATTGACGTGTTTTTTCACCCGATTTTCCAGTAGTCGAATCATACCGAACATCATATTTATCTTTTCTCTCAGACATTTTTCTAGAAAAATACAAATTTGACAATATTAATCAAACTCAATTTATTATACAAAAATATTGTACTTTACTCCATAACGTAATAAAATATATGTTATTGTAATGTAACTGTTATTTATTTAGCAGTAAATTCATCTGTAAATATATCTTGTGCATATAATAGAATTGAATTCATCAACTTTATATCGAACTCAGTACGTTGTACTTACTTTTAAATAATACGAATAAAGTATGTATTTCCAGTAGAATCAGACTTAATTAATTAATGTCGATTTTACGACTTAATCAGACTTAATTATTAATGTCGATGTTAGTATTTACAATTTTTTTTTATAAAAGCCATCCCTACTCTCATAAATAAACTTTTTGATATTATTTAATAGTTAAAAATGTAAAAGTTAAAAAATATGATAACAGATAGCGCCACCAAATGTTGCTGGGAAAGTAAAGCAACTCGTTGCTGGATTGTTTCATAAAGATTCCTCACAAGAGAGATACTTCCTCACAAGTATCTCTCTTGGCAGATCGTTGACTATTTTATACTGTCAATTGGATTTAATCCTTTCGTTACGTAAAAGTCCAAACTTCTACAATGGATAAGCGTTTAAAATATCTATACAGTATTTGACATACCCCTAATAATGTATTCGCTTTAATTTATCCGGTAGATAGTTTTTCTGTATTTTAAACTTTATATATAGGAGAGACCGGGGAAACTTTGGCATGCGGGGCAAGTTTGTCAAGCGCTTTTTTTAGGTTAGGCAGTTGAGTTTTATTGGTGGCTTGTAGAGTGTAGTTTTTTTATTGTTCTCCAACAAGCGTAGTTGAATTATCAAGCAAATTTTCATTTTCGTTCAATTCCATGTAACAGGGGTGGCCAACCTGCGGCTCGCGAGCCACATGCGACTCTTTGAAGGATTATTTGTGGCTCTCGATAGATGTATCCGAGTTCCCTTTTCATTTTTGTGTTATTATTTTTTTAAAAATTATTATCGCTCCGTATGTGTTTCAAAATGTCTTTTAAATTAATAACAACAAATATGAAAGACATTGTGCTCTGGAGAAAACAATTTGTATCACTCTTGCTACGGATATAATTTGTAATCTGAAATTTTTGCATACCTTTTTAATACGTATTTAATTGCGGCTCGCAAAAAATTTCAAATTTTGAAAAATGGCTCGGACTATCAAGGAGCTTGGCCACCCCTGCCATATAATATTTTGCTTCCATTTATATTGAATTGGCAGGTTTTGTTATAATTCCATGATAACGAAAGTTACTTTTCCTGTTAGAAGGATGTTACTTCAACTTATTCACGTGACCAGATCATGGCTTGGCATTCTGTTCTCAGGGTTATACTTAATGTTTCGAAATCATGACTAGCGGGGTAAGATCGGCAACATAAAGCCACATTAGAAGCAAATGATAAAAATCAAACAGATGATAAATGAAAACATGTTTGCATTTGTTATTCATGTATATATGTCTTTGAACTTGCATTTCGTTGTAATAATATTAAATGGG